ATATATATATATATATATATATATATATATATATATATATAAAGAACCCGTATAGGCATTTCTTCAAACATGTCACACATGGACAGAACCATAAAACAGTCCCGCCTAGGCATTTCCCCGAGCACATGGCGCTCGAGAAGAAAGATGACAAGTGCTCCAAATCAGTCCATGGAATAAGCTAACCCCTACGCATATGATAATAAGCAAACAGCTGAGAGATGGGATACCTTCAGAAATCCTCATCAAGCTTGAAGACATGGATGGCTCCGGTCCCGTTCAAGCTCGACATCACGGAGGCCTTCTGGTACTCGCCCACCCTCTTCTCGAAGAAGTTGGCCTTACCCTGCAGCGAGATGAGCTCCATCCAGTCGAAGGGGTTGGCCGCCCGGTACATCTTGCCGTGGCCCAGCGCCCCGAGCAGGCGGTCGGCCACGAACTCGATGTACTGGCTCATGAGATCAACGTTCATCCCGACGAGAGCGACAGGGAGTGCGTCGCAGACGAACTCCCGCTCGATGTCAACAGCGTCCGCAACGATTGCCCGGACCGCTTCCTCGGACAGCTTGTTGCGGAGGAGGCTGTAGAGGAGGCAGGCGAAGTCGCAGTGGAGGCCCTCGTCGCGGGAGATGAGTTCGTTGGAGAAGGTGAGGCCGGGCATGAGGCCGCGTTTCTTGAGCCAGAAGATAGCGCAGAAGGAACCGGAGAAGAAGATGCCCTCGACGCAGGCGAAGGCAACGAGGCGCTCGGCGAAGGAGCCGGAGGAATCGATCCAGCGAAGGGCCCAGTCGGCCTTTCGGGCGACGGCGGGGACGGTATCGATGGCGTGGAAGAGGCGATACTTGTCGTCGGGGTCCTTGACGTAGGTGTCGAGGAGGAGGGAGTACATCTCGGAGTGGATGTTCTCGATGGCGATCTGGAAGCCGTAGAAGGCGCGGGCCTCGGGGAGCTGGACGTCGCGCATGAAGCGCGCGGCGAGGTTCTCGATGACGATGCCATCGGAGGCGGCGAAGAAGGCGAGGACGTGGGAGACAAAGCGGCGCTCGTCGGGGGTGAGACGGTGTTGCCAGTGGGAGAGGTCCGGCGACAGGTCCACCTCCTCCGCCGTCCAGAACGAGGCCACCGCCTTCTTGTAGAACTCCCAGATGGAGGGGTAGGTGATAGGGAACATGCAGAAACGGTCCGGGTTCTCCGCCAGCAACGGCTCTGACTCCTCCATTCCTCCTCTTCCTCTTCCCTCCTGGGCTGATGGCGGCGGCGCCATCATCGGTCGACAAAGGGAAAAAGGGGAAGGTGGTTTAAATTTGGGGGATTTCGGCTTGCAACGGGAGCGGCAAGGGTTGCGTGGGGCCAGCGGACGGTGAGGTTACCTCATAGTGATTGCACGGGAAGACGAGACGGCGGCACTTTCCTAAGCCGAGAGGAAAAGGTTAAAGGGCAATTATCTCTCTTACCCATATTCGACTTGACCCGCACGATCCGAACTCGTCGTTGTATGAGAGAGCTCTGGGCCCCACCTCCTCATACAGGGGTCTGGTACGAGAGGGAAGCGCCGTGACAGATTAATTGCCACGTGGAGCCATGACTGTGGTGGTGTACGGGTGGGCGGGTCGGTGTGGGGTTTGACGTAAAGATGGACAGTGGGAAAGGGAAAATGGGCGCGAAATATCCGGTGGGCCACCACAGGCACAAACACAGAGACACTTGCCAACAGTGTTTCCGTCAGAGTGAACGCACCTGACTCATGATTGGTGGAAGATTGGTGGGTCCCAGAATTAATGACACCAAAGAGAATGGGCACTTTGGTTGATGTACTAAATGATCCAGGGTTGAGGGGAATGGAGGGGGTGCGGACCAAAGAGAATGGGCACTTTGGTTGCACTCTTGAGCACTTATAATAGTGTAGCGTTACGATTGCATTGGCTATCTAAAAGAAATATGAGTTAAAGTATTTTTAAAAAAATTGATCCATAGTATTTAGATGTGTCAATTGTACCTACGAGCATTGATACTTGCAAGGTTCTACCCGTAATCGGACAATGATGATGATGAGAATACGATATATATTTTTATTATCTACGCGATTATGGGACAAGAATAGTTAGAGTACTTTCTACCTAGTCTTTGTACTTGTACTCATCCCGTTAATATTTGAGTCGAGATGTTGGATAGATCAATCGCCTACCTAATTTAAATTAGACTGAATTAAGTTGATTGTGAATCAATTATAAGCCAACTAGAATGAATCATATAATATAAAATCGATAAATGTTATTATAACATGCATCCATCATACTTTTTCTTCCCGCTTTTTCTCGTCTCTCGTCATCAAAAGTGTTCTGAAGCACCATAACCTAATCTAATGACGACTTGTCTGATTTCATGTTGATAGCCAGATTGCATATGAGGTGCTTGTTAATAGAGTTACATGAATTATTGTCCCAAAAGAGAGAAGAGGGCATCCACCCCATGCACACTTCTCTTTTGTCGGGGAAGGGACAAGCATGGTTGAGAGCATCAGCCAAAAAGCCGAGACAGATGGTGGGCTGCCCTCTCCTAACACATTCTTCTTCGACACCAGCAATTGCCACTATTTCCATCGCATAACATCAGACACAGTGAACTTAACCCGGACCTTCGAAAGAACCAATCTGGAAGAGGAGAAGGTACCATATCAACTGGGCGTAAAGGATCTAGCCGGATGGATAATATGCCAAAGCAACACACACAAGAATTGAACTTGACGAAGATTTCAAGATGCAAAGCCCAGCCCTACCAGCATCGCCATGCATGCTGCCAAAGTTGGCTAGTGGGAAGTAAGTATATTTACAAGCACTCAGACCTACTCATGAAGCCATAATCCACCACCTCTCTCTCTCTCTCTCTCTCTCTCTCTCTGGTTCCATGGAAGAGAATGACCGAAGATAACTGCGGCTACTACTACATACCATTGAGTCACCAGTGTCCTTGGTGGGAGCTGATCTCGCTCACCATCACCTGCTCGACCTTAATCTGTCTCTGAGTGTCAACAGGAGGAACCCAACAACTATCCCAGAAACATGCAACTATTGAAGCAGCAAACCGGAGAGCAGATCCGACTTGCTGCCATGGAGAACGCTTACGCTGAGAATATAAAGGAGCTGGAATCGGCAAAGAACGAGTTTGCGTGAGCTAGGCTGGTCCGGGAGCGAGCCAGAGAAGAGGTGGAGAAAGCAGAAAGGACGAGGGAGAAGGCCACCAGAAAGATCACCGCTGCTTGCTCAGAGATCACTTGCTGTAGGTGTCAGCCGCAAGAGCTCTCGTCGAGAGCTGCACGGTTCTCAAGCTTTAATTGGTTTAACCAAACCAAGTTAATCATAAGTTTGGGTCTGCAATTAATCCGGTCCGAACTCGAACCGAACCGGGTTTAGTCAAGCTCGGGGCACAAGTAATTTAACCTCGGGCCACCGTGAGCCACTCGTTAGCTTTAGATTTCAATTAGTAGACGTCTTGTGGAGCGGGACGACTACCAGAGAAGAAAGAGTGAGCGGAGAGAGACGTAGGCGAAGAAAGAGATCAGCCATGGTGTGCAGAAGCGTTGTGATGCGCTCGATGCTGTTATCGGAGCAGCCATGGCGACCCTCCTGCCGCCCGATCCTCGGCGCTTTCCATTCGGTCGCTACTCCTCTTGTCCGGCCTCGAGTTAGGGCTCCGTTCGTAGCCGCTCCTCTTCGGTGCTCCCACGGCGACGCCCAGACGCCGGCCTCCCGTTCGTCCTCTCCTCAGGACGACCAGGGCCCTCCCCAGGAAGCTGTCCTCAAGGCCATCTCCGGTGAGTCCCTGAAAGTTCCCAATCTGTTGTCGGTATTGTGATTTGTGGCTGATCGGTATAATTGCTCCTAATTGGATCCCTCTTAAGATTCCTTTCTTTCTTATCACGCTTTGTCCATATGAGGCGCCGGAAGAGAGTTCGAACGTATTGGGCAGGGGAAGAAGGAATGAATTTTTGAAAGAGTGAGTAGAGTATCTGGGAACTTATTTGTGCTTCTGTTTGATGAAATGATTGCGGGGACACACCAATTTTGCCATGGAAAAATTTGTTGGATTTTTATGTGGGATCATTGCTATCTGTGATTTTGTATATTTTGAAGCTGCAGGTGATATATGATTGAAAGTAGATTCAGCATATTAGGCAACCAGTTCATGTTGGGTTCACTGGGTTAACTTATAGTCTTCTACAACAACAACAATAAAGCCGTTTGAACCTTCTGTCACTATTGCTATAGGTATAAAATCATATGTTTAATTAAGTTTAGAGTACTTAACTTTTTATTATAATTTCTATTAAGGTCTTTCTAAGTCTTTATCTCTTCTTGTACCATCAACATTAATGATTTCATCTCTTCTAACTACAGTATCTTGAGGTCTCCTAAATACGTGCCTTTATCATCTTAAACGATTTTCTTTCATTTTATCCTCTGTTGAAGGGATAGATAGTTATTCACGAATAAATGTATTTCTTTTCTTATCTATCCTAGTAACTCCATACATCCATCTCAATATTCTCATCTCGGCTACACAAACTTTTTGTATATGTCGTTTTTTAACTGTCTAACACTTAGATCTATAAAGCATTTTTGGTCTCACAACTATTTTATAAAATTTTTCTTTTAATCTCAAAGGTATCTGATGATTATACAAGATTCCTATTTTTTCTCTATAAATAATATCTTTATCGATTTCTCTATTTTGTCGAATAATTGATCCAAGATACCTAAAATTTTACTTAAAATGAACTTTTGTCTATCCAATTTAACTATATTCTTCTATCTATTCCTAGAATCCCTAAAATTACATCTTAACTCGATTATAAGGTTTGCCTTCATAGCTCAAGTTTATAATTAATTCCACTTAGACTTTCATCAACTAAGATGATATCATTAGTAAATAATATACACTAGGGAGATCTATCATGTAAGTGACTAGTAAGTTCATTCAGTATCAATGTGAAAAGATAGGGACTTAATGTGGATCCTTGATGTAATCCTTTTATAATAGGAAACTCACTAGGCATACTCCATATATTCTAATACTAGTAGCTACATCGGCATGCATATCTTTAATAATATCAATATAATTAGTGGATACATCATTTTTTTTTTGTTAAATCCACCATAATAAATCTCTAGGAGCCATAACATAGGCTTTCTCTAGGTCAATAAAAACTATATTTAAATCTTTATTTTTCTGTTTATATTTTTCATTAATTGTCTTAATAAATAAATAGTTTCTATTGGCGATCTTTCAGGCATAAAACTAAATTGATTTTCAGAGATATTTGTTTTATGCCTTATCCTACTTTTGATAACTCTTTTCCAAAGTTTCATAGCATGACTTATGATTGTAATTCCTCTATAATTTGAATAATTTTATATGTCATCCTTATTTTTGTAAATTGACACTTAAAAAATCTTTCTCCATTTATCAGACATCCTTTCGAATCACCTGATTTCGTTAAATAAGATAATTAACCAAGCTACTTTCTTGTCCTCTAAACTTTTTTAGACCTAAATGAGGATACCATCAAGTCAAACACTCTTAGTTATTTTCATCTTCTTTGATGCGTTTTTTACTTCACTAGTTCTAATTTTACTAACAAATCTATGATTATTAAATCCATCACTATTATTTATTGTTAAATCCAAGTCCTGTTTGGAATATTCATGAAATAATTTATAAAATAAATTTTTTATCTTTCCTTAACCTTGTTATCGTTAACAAGTATTCTTTTATCTTTGGTTTTAATGGATTTAATATTATCCAAATCCTTATACTTTTTTTCTTTAGCTTTAGCAATTCGATATATATCTTTTTCACCATCTTTAGTACTTAATTTACTATAAAAATTATCATAAACTTTATATCTTGTCATACTAATCATGTTTTAGCCTCTTTTTTTAGATTATTTATATCTTTTACATTTTCTCTCATTTTTGTAACTTTGTCAATCTTTAAAATATGATCTTTTATTAAAAATTACTTTTTGAATTTTCTTGCACCACCATCAACTCTCTCTTAAGGTTACACCTCTATCTTTAGTTTTACCAAGAATCTCTTTTGTTAAGCTCTTAATTTTATTAGCCATGATAGTCCAAATAATATTAATATTATACTCATTCCAAGTTGCCTCTCATTTCATCATATTCTTAAGAGTGTTTACATTATCATCTTTAAAATTTTACTATCTAATCCTAGTAAATTTTTTTACTATCTTTTGCTTCTTTTATTTTTTGTAATAAATATCTACTGCCATCAATCTATGTTAATTCGTCAAACTTTCGCCAGGTATAACTTTACAATTCTTACAACTAACTTTGTCTACCTTTTTAATGAGAAAAAGTTTATTTGACTATAATTGTGACCACTCTTAAAAGTAATCAAATATTAATCTCTAAGTGAGTATTTACAATTATAAGACCATATGAAGTTGCAAAATTCAAAATCATACTACCATCTTTATTTCTCTCTCCATAACCAAAGCCCTCATGCACCCATTTATATTTATTATATGTTTTCCCTACATGGCTATTCAAATCTCCTCTAATTATAAGTTTTTCGGTTATCTAAGTTTTCCCAAAGATCTCTTTTAGTTTAATCAACCAATCCGACTTGAGGGGTATAAGCACTAACGACATTCAAAAAATCTTGTTCTTTCACAAATTATGGAACTATAATTCTATCTTCAAATCTTTTTACATCTACAACATTATTCTTAAGATCCTTATCAACAACAATTTATTCATCATTTCTGTGTTTAACTTTTTCAGTATATTAAATTTTCAATCTAGTATTGTCAATCACTCTAGATTTTTTTCCTACCCACTTAGTCTCTTATAAGCAAGTAATATTTATTATTCTTCTAATCATAGTGCCTATCAATTCTAATCCCTTCCCTAAAGGTGTTCCGAGTGACGATCTAGCTCTATACTGAAATTGGTTAAGATTCATATTAATGAGATCTGACATAATTTTATGTTGGTTGTCAGTGACCTAATGCAACCCTGCACTTTTTTCATCCGGCTTGGGACCCGCATTGGTGGTGTTTGGGTTATCTTCTAGTCTAATTTAGCTTTTTCTTTTTTATTTTAATTTTAATTTGGGGAGAGGAGGCAACGCGTTCAAGGAATTCAAGGGTTAGTAATAACAGGAAAGAGAATAATAACAATAACCTCAACCAAAGAACAGAGACCTAGGCTTTTGAGGTAAAAAAAAAGGCATGAAAAAATATCATAAATTGGGAAAGCCCTATCTTATCCTCTAGTAATCAGTGGATAAGTATGGTAGATGGATGTAAATTATGAAGTCATATTCGTTCAAAATAATTACAGATATGAATTGGATACAGATCAGATATATGTTTATTTTGGGTACATATTGGATGCTGGACTGCTTTTGGATTTGTTTTATATTTTTGGTGGGTACAGATACAATAAGATTCAAAATGGATTTAGACTAGTAGAAATATTGGTGAAATTGGATACAAATAATATACATAAGAAGTCATGCATTTGATGTATTTTTGAAATACATTATGCAATCATTTCGTTGTATTTCCAAAAGATGTTAGTAGATTCATTTATTTTGACTGTTTGGTTTCATTCTTTTTCCGTTATTTGTCAATTTAAAGTATCAGATACTGTTCTTTCTGATGCTTTGTTTTAACCCCCACCTTTTAATTGATGTTGGCACTGAATCCAGAAGTATCAAAGTCTGAAGGAAGGGTTGCACAAACCACAAATGTTGTTATTGGTGGTACAGTGATGGATGATTCTACTGATGAATGGCTTGTTTTAGATAAGAAGGTACAATTTTGTTACAATACTCTGCCCTATTCTTTTCCCCACTTCACCTTAATTTAAAGTCCATTGTGCAAAATTAATTGTTTTTGTACCTGTCACTATTGTTGAATCCATTTAATTATTTTTTTATTACAGCAACAGCACAATATAAGTTCAAACTTCTTTTATCGCCTTTTAATTATAGTACATTTATAAGCATCTAGGCTTTAGTTTATATTATTCCTTTGTTACTCTAGGACATTTATATTTGAACTTCACATCTGGCTGGTTATCCCATATGATTGAAAGATCATTTACTGGAGGAGTTATATATGAGTCCCTCATACCCTCATGCTCTCTTAATACAAAATCCACTCAAGGCAAATGTGTACTTATGCTAATCCATTGATAGGAACATGGTTATAGTGCATAATTGTCCCGATTTGTGTCAGCTTCTAAGACTACATGGATACTCAAATTGTTAAAGTACTCAGGTCTGCAACCAACCTTTTCAGGGTCATTATAGATTAAAAGATGAACTGACTTTATGAACATTTCCTTTTGTTCATGTTGTGAGCTTATCCAATTTTTAGTTAAGTGGTCTAGTTGATTCATTTTGGAACCTTATTTAAATTAGTGGTTCAGAGGCTTTTTTTATCATTTTATCAGCATGCTGACATTTTACTTGTGCAATATGGTAAACTTCCTTGATGCTTCTTCACCTTTTCTACCAATTGATTAAACAAAAAAAAAACTAGAGGAAGAAAAAATAATTCTTTCTATTATGTGGAGTTTTGAGAATGCAAGTCTATTCATCAATTTATCTGTTTTTCAGGTTAATTCATATCCCACGGACAGACGGTTTACCGCAATAGGAACTGGGGGTGATGAATTTGTCCAATCAATGGTTGTTGCTGTTGAATCTGTGATCCAAGAACCAATTCCAAAGGTTTGTGTGTTACTGTTCTGAAAAAAATAAAACATTCATCAATGTAGTCAAATAATTGTTAGGCTTGCAAAGTTTTACTGGTTTATATGTATTGTGCAAGGCAAGACTTTATAGTCGGTAACTTTTCTTGCAACTTTTTAAGAAGCCAACCTAAATGATAATGGTATTAAGGCATGAAAGACAAGTGTTGCATTACTACTAATAAAGCAAGACTGAAGAAGTGAATAAATTGAGCTTAAACATGCGATTCCCTTGAACTAAAGATTGATTCTTCGGTTTCTTCATGCTGTCTTGTAACTGTATCATTATCATTTCATGGGCTTGGTATGACACTCTGCAATACTGAAACTATACAGTTGCACTTGCAGTCAATCTGCTGTTGGTTTAACTTTTTCTTTTTTATGTACATCCTAGATCTCCTACATCTTGGAATTTATAATGAAGATGGTTTTGATTGTATAGTTTAACTTGGAGGAATTCAGAAAGGTCGTAAGCAGACTGCAGACCTAGAGTGGGCAATACATGGTTTTATAAGACACCAGGAAAATTTTGGAAGAACGTGATATTCATGTATAACCTTATGATGCTTTTCTAGACTTTAGATACCTCAGGAGTTCTTTTCTGCCATTTACCAACAGGATCATTTCTATTTTTACATTATTTATTTATTATTTTTAAGTCCATATTAGAATTTGATTATGAAATTTTCAACCCATGAAAGTTAGATGTTTGGTGGGTTCATGTGTTGTTTATAAGAATGAGTTGCAACTAGTTCCCTATGTTTGAAGCACTGTACTACTCTTTCTGCTTATACTAATTAGTATGCTTGTTCCTATTATAAGTGAAAATCATGATGTATTCAAATTTGTGTCGTGTATTCAACTAGTCCCTTCTTACATATCCTTCCCCCAAAGATCATCCATCTTAGTAATATAAAAATTCATCATTCCAACCAGTTGATCTCATCCTTCATCTCATGTGGGCTCCTTGTTGGTTTTCCTACTTTCTTAAGTTGGTTCTGGAATTTGATTTAACCAGTTTCTCAAAGATGTAGGAGAGAAGGTTTTGAGATCAGTGGCTCAGGGGTTTTGTCCAGATGCTGGAACAGTAATTATCATTATTCCATACCATGTCAATGCTCTGGAACTAGTTGACATGGGGATGGACGCTTGCAGAAATAATACATTAAACATAAGTTAAACCAATGCACATAGCACGATTATTGTGCTTGCCAACACCCAGGTATTAGCATTGGTTCCTTAGCATCATGTTGTACATGCTTTTAAGAAAAAAGGTATTTGTAAAATTGGGAGTGCCTATATTGTGCTGTGATGCCTACATATATGATTAAGGGACCTTAACTGGAATTGTTTTAGCTGCCCACTATGGAGCTGCATGAACCAGTACTTCAAATGCTGCAACCAATTGTATTACTTTCTTAGGCGCTGCTTGTGATAATTGTTTTAACTTTCCAGACTTGGTGTATGATTTAAGTCTACATGGTTTGCTACAGTACCTATATAAAGCAATTTTCTGAAAGTTATGTGAATTGCTGATGGAATAGCTTATCTATTTTGCTGTTCTTTCATCAGTTATGCAGTGACAAGATTTGCATCTGCTGGAATATTAGGTAGCCTATATTACTTAACTTTGATTTTTTACAAGACTGCTTGCAGAAGCTGTCTTCTTGCTGCACCGATTACTCGTACTCCTTTTTCTGTGGCTTGTCTGTATATAGTGATCTCAATGGTTCTTTTGCTCTTGTTTCTTTGGTCCTTTCTTCTTGTCAATTCATTTTTAATTCATATCCTCAAGTATACTAGTTTATACCAGAACACATAGGTTAGTGGAACTCGATCCAAGATTTGGAGGAACACTTATGAAGTGATTGTCAATCTTGAAATTCTTGTGCAGAGGAGATCCTATTGTGAATTCTTAAGCAAGATAAGGTTATCGCATGGATGCTGCTGTTTTGTTTACCCCAAAGTCGAACTGAATTTGTAAAAATGCTTATATGAAACTACCAGATGCATTTACCTGCCAGAGTTGACATTTTGCTTGATTTGTTGCTCGTTGATGGAAGAAAAATGAATACTTTCAGGTGGAGATTGTTTGCCTTTGGCTTTATATGCACGAAGGCATAGAAATCATGCTTTTGAAGTTAATACTCCTGGGAGTCCATGCTTTTCTCATTATTTATTCAAATAGTCATGGATGCTCAGTTCAGGCAAAGAATACGCATTGTCCAAAAAAATTATTTTGTATAGACCCATACTCAATTGTGTAGGCTTGCTAATTATTTTCATTGAGGCATAGTTTTCTTCATAGTGTCTAAATGTATCTAGTGGCAATTGATCAATTATTTTAGTTCACATTATATCAAGGTTTTGCATTTATTTAGTTCTTTTTTGCTGAACAGGGTAGCGTGAGTCAGAAAATATCTTCAAGGGGAAAGTATGTGTCAGTAAATATTGGTCCTATTCGTGTTATCTCGAGTGAACAGGTGTGCTTCTTGTTTTTCCCTTTTTAGTTTTTCTTCCAAACATGCTACTCTTGAGAGAAATTCCATGCCTTAGTGGTTATGTGCTAATTCTTGTAAGATTGGATTGGGTGCATGATGTTTCTTATTTATTATCATTTCGGCTGTGGCATATGATGTGTTTCAATTGGCCTTTTCAGGTCCAAGCTGTATATAATGCCATGAGGAGGGATGACAGGATGAAGTACTTTTTATAGATCGTATGAACACGTTTCTTATAGCAGTTTTGGCGGTTCAGCTCTTAATCGATCTTTGATAGTCCATGGCAATTTGGTAGCTTCCAGGTAGTATGGGCACACAATTTTTGAAGTTTTTCTTGCAAGTCTTTCTGCTTATACCCTTTTGAAAAGTAATTTAGCCAAGAACTGTTTGATTTCTGGCAGGCTGGAGGGCAAAAGCCTTGTATCAAATGCTCAGATCTGCTGCTTATCAAAATTCAGGAATCTATTGTGTTAAAGTCATTCAAATCACTGGTAGATAAGCATAATTATGGAATTGAAAAGAGGATTGTAAGGATAGTTGGTAGATTTCTTTTTCTCAATAGATGACTATTTTCGAGGCTTTTAATTATTGTTAGGTGGTTTGTTTTTAGTTAAAACTTTTTATCACAATAAACTGCATTGAAGAGGTTATTATATGAATTCGAATCATGCATTAACATCCCACAAAGTGAAAGATTGGCACCAAATGTGAGCCCTGCCTATAAGGTATGTGGGATGTTGAGTACGTCAATTATGATTAATTCCTGCTAGAATTTCTATTATATCTGTTTTCATATTGAGTGCTTATTGGATTGAAAAATAAAATTAATATAAGATTTTGTTAATGTTTTGGTTTTTTAAATTTTGATCTTAAAGCGAATAAATTAAACATATAAAGTATTTCGATTTGATTCAATGATATAACAAATGTCACCTACATGAGTTATGTATGTATGTATGTATGAATATGATGATAAGATTATCTTAACAAGATAAATTATATATATTATTTTAGATTATATTAAGAAAAGTTAGTAATATTGTAATATATAAAAATAAGTATAACATTAATGATATATAATCATTATAACTTTCATTGATAGTCAAATTTAGTGTGAGGTTATGTTTATTGGATTTATTGGCATGCTTTATAAAATTAGTGTGCATGTGTAAAATATTTTTTCAAAGTTTCATAATCCAATTAAATATAATTATTTTTAAATAAAATTTTATTTTATTTTATTTATTTTTATTTTTTTTTTATATCTTATCAATTAATAGGTAAAGTGAGAGAATATTATATTATATGATCATATCTAATTAGGTAAGATATATTATATATATGATTAGATTCTGATTTATGATTATCGATAGATAGAAAAGAAGTCTGATAGAAATTCTTATAATATGATATTGATGAGAGGGACGTCCCTAATTATCTTTCATAAATCCTCTGTTTTCACATTTAAAATGACAGATAGACTCAGATAATTAGATACATGGATAGATGAATAAAAGATACGTGGATACGTGACATTGTTGAGAGATTATATTTTTTTTTTTATCTTCTCCTAATCATGTGAACCGATCAAGGAAACATTACAGATATTTTCTCTCGGTTCTTCTTGCAGATCGGCATCTTTATAATTTTTTATCTGAAACGATTGCCCATAAATCATATAGTTTGGATATATTATTATTTGATTTCAAATTTTGATATTAAATTTTTTATAACAGTAATATAAGGAATGTTGTTTATGCTTGCACTGCATTTAGTGAACACCATCGCCATGTACATAATTTGATGGAGGATCAGTTTTGTTTAACACCAGCTCTGTGTCCTCTCCAATTGGTCTGTCCTACTTTAGAGATGCTTGCAGGTATCTTGCCCACCTTGGCTTAGATCGATTTCATCTGGAAGTACTACTACCTCGCCGACAAACCCTAATGACAAAGAAGTTCATTTTTATGCATTGCCCTACGCTCGTTGTGACTGCATCGATGGTATAGATGCCTAACTTATATTAGGGTTCAATGGGTGCATCAGATCTATCGTGTCCATTCAGGTGATCGTGCCCATAATCAACGGCACTTATTTCGATCCTTGGAAGCTCTGTTGGTCCAGTTGCAACCCCACTCCCTCGGAGGGGTTCCGACCATGTCACATCCTCTCGCTCCTACATCGTGATCTATAGAGTTTTACTTGCAGGACGAACAGAGGTGTGTTAGGGGTTGATCGACACCCCTTTTCCTGGAGGGGATGAGGTTGCTTTTTAGCGGGGCTTCTTCCTAAGTAACCACGTATCTGTCATCTATGCTTATTGGATTGAGCAGAATCAACAATGAGACTACTTTTCCTTTGTAAGATAAAAAGATTATAAGATTACTTTTCCATATTTCGGCATCTGACCGGATGCTAAGCTTTCTTTCATCTGTCGTTTTGAGTTCACTTTCCCCTGATTGCTTGTGACTTCTTTCCGAAGGTCATCCACACACAGATGATGGAACCCAAACACAGAAAAGCAGTCAAAGGCATGCATTGTCGCCGTCGAAACAATCCTCAGAGACCACAAGAATGTGTCTAAGTTGCATGAATGCTGTACAAAACGTGGCTGCAATTTCTAACCGTAGAAGTTTGACTTGTCTTCTCCAAGGAGAAAACTCCCAAAAGTCCTCTTGAAGTTTCGGAGCAAGACTTCTCCTGGTTTAAGCTAAAGATCCTGATCCAAAAGCACCGATCGATGAGAAGAAAACATTGTGCCATGACATGGTGTGTGCTACGAGCTGTTTTCACCTCTTCAGGGAGGATCTGAATTCAAAGCTATTCTCCTCCAAAGAAGAACGACCGCAGACGTCGAGAACAAAACGAGATGATACTGTGTGATGGGTGTGGTCGATCAATCTCGAGGTTAACGTAAGGCTGCATGCCATCCATCACGTTTAAGCACGAAACATTGTTCCTTGAGCTTGACCACTAATTACTATCTCATGCAGGGATCCAAGAAGTCAAGTCTAAGGCTGACAATCCATGTGCGTCTAGAAACATATACACTGTTGTGTTAACAGTGCACAGGAGAGAGAGAGAGAGAGAGAGAGAGACGTTTTGATGCTTCTGGAACATATATACATGCTCGTGCGTGTTTTTGTTCCTACCCCAACATCGATCATGTTGTCAATCCTTTGATTTGGCAAACTGTGGAAGAGTCGAACTCAACCAAATGATCGTCACCAGGTAAGTGCAAGCATCGTCTCCGTAGGGTGTAGGGAGTAACACTGGAGTGGAGCTTCCACCAGCTCCGATGATTGCCATGTCCCGGCCACAAACGAGGATTCCATCCTGTGGTAATTAAATGAGGTCGTGAACTCGTTTCTGATCAGTTATCCACGAGACCTTTGATGGGAGAGCTGCCATGAAGGAATCTGAAGGTTGAATGCAAAGCTTCAGGCCTCTTCTAATCGACTTCTCATTCGATGGTGGAAGGAAGCTGTGCAATCTTGTGATTGGCCAAAGGATTTCCCGTGGTGTAGGTGACCACAATATATTGTCATGCTCTGGGAACACACGGATTCTTCACAACCCTTTTGTCATCTTCCTCGGCGATCAGCTTCACCAAATGTTCATCAACTTGGTAGTCCAACACGTGTTGTTGATCTATGTGGATTCAGCTACTCCCGAAGAACATATCCAAAATAACGTAGCATCAGAGACAATGAACGAGAGGAATTTATTGACTAATCAACCATTCACTGAACCACTGAATCAATAGCGCTTTCTGCTCCTTTAATGCTTGCTGACACTTGTTCTTGGATGGAGAGTAATGACCCTCACAGATGGGAGATCCAACAGGCACAACTATATATCCATGCACGGGTGAGACTGGTGATGAGTAGATTTGATTGTTCACGGTAAAGGGTTTTCACTGGATGTGCGTTAGCCGCCACTGTCGTTTCCCATATTGCCATTTCCAAGATTTGTATGTAACATGTAATCTTAGCCGCTAATTTACGTGCCGTTCACGACTCCCTTGCTATCTCCATATAGGTTACCAGCCTGCCTTCTTCCTTCCCGTGCTCTTCAAGAACCCATACTCTCTTCCATTCCCATCTCCTTCTCTCTCTTTTCACGGTGAGTATGGAGAACTATCCCATCCTGTTCCCTTCTTCTACTTCTTTCCACTCTCCACGTCTCTCCCTCTCGCCATCCGACACGATCAGCAACGGCCAGGTCTTCTTGGGACTGCAGGATGGGAACAATGTTCCAGCCTCCCATGCATCGAGGGAGAACGAAGGGAACCCTAGCAAGAAGAAGGAGAAGAAGGTGAGGAAGCCAAGGTATGCCTTCCGGACTCGAAGCCAACTCGACATACTCGACGATGGCTTTCGTTGGAGGAAGTATGGACAGAAGGCAGTGAAGAACAACAGGTTTCCAAGGTCTGTTTGTCGATCCCTTGTTTCTTTCCTTCTCTCTTCTCTCCTTATTTTCTTCAAGAAGATACAATATCGGTGACCTAATTCATGTATTCAAGCTAATACGCACTCATGCAGTCATGTTCTCACGACTACATCACCTGTTAATCCTTCCGGTAAGAACAGTGTATGATCCTAGTTTGGCTTCGATGGTTCTGAGCTATATTTGCTGTATATATTTGTAGGATTGATTTGTTTGCTTTCATTGTTGTTGATGGATTCTTGTATGTCTTTAATAGTGGCTTTCTAATTTGTCATCTTCATATAAGAATGAAGCACTAGAGAAAAAGAGATCCAACTCCATCCAATTCACTTGTCGAAAGCTCTGAGTTCTCTAAACTACATGGTGTTTCTATAGCCAATTAGATAGATGATAGCCTCTCGATTTCTCATCCTACCTCACTTGATAATGCGAACAAGACATCACTGCAGAGAAACGTGAACAAAGATTAATTAGGTACGAGACAGATTTGATAGTGTCATCAAGTGAGAGTTGTTGTCTTGATGTGGTTGCAGAAGCTACTACCGATGTACGCACCAAGGTTGCGACGTGAAGAAGCAGGTGCAGCGGCTGTCCATGGACGAAAGCATTGTGGTCACAACCTACGAGGGAGTGCACAGCCATCCGGTAGAGAAACCAAATGACAACTTCGAAGACATACTGAATCAGATGCAGATCTATTCCAGCTTTCAGTAATTTGAGTACTGAAACCTCTGTAGCAGAAGCAGATCTATAATAAGATGCATGATGGTTCAGCAGTACACACGGCTGTCTTGATCCTGTGAGCAATCTGTGGCCAAGACAGATACAAAGTTTCATGTATTACTGTCAAAGATTAATTATAAATATATATTATACTGATTTACTTTCTAGCAGTCGAAGCTCGTAAAATCTTTAAGCATTGTAGATACATACATACCTACATAAGCTGCTCACTGCGAACACAAATGCAGATGTGTGGAGATGAGGCGGCTCAGTTGTCGCCTCTCTCTTCCACAAGCCTCGCTCTTCCTGGGAGCATATGCCAGCCATAAGCAAGGCCATGTGCTTGCTTGCTTTATGAACATTCTCAGTGGTCGCATTAATGGATCGCCAATGAGTTTGGGCGTCGGTTGTACCATCAAATCAGTGATCCCACCACTGGCAACCGGTGGGACTGTCTGTATGCGATCACGATCCTCCTGCAACATAGTCTTCCCATCATCTCTTGTAACCATAGTACTGACCAGTGTCTGGAGCTGCATTATGTCAGTCTGGACTACAAAGCTTCTTCCCTCAACGAAGAAGAAGATAGGATGATGATGATGAAGAAGAAGAAGAACACTGGAATGCCATCTTTCTTCTTCTTCTTCTTCTTCTTCTTCTTCGTGGCATGAAGGGGCCACCGACTGCATCATATATCTTTGAATGTGATGCCAAGACTGGTGCAGAAACTTCCATGCACGACTCCTGAAGACTCCAAGAGACATGATTTGGATCGAGGACTCCATTATCAAGCTAATAATTAGACTGAGGTCGCTTTCGTCTCCTCCATCTTTTGTGTGCATGCCAGTTATAAAGTCTTTTTTATTATTTATTATTTATTTTTGATATTGCCACTTGGGCTTATCTTGAACACACACACACACACACCAAAAATGATAGTGGCAAACTTGTTCTGAATTAATATTAATATTACTATTACTCTTGGAATTCTTTAATTACAAGTTAAACATTATGAGCAGTACCAAAAAGTTTCAATAAATCAAAAATTAAAAGAAAATTAATCTAAGAAAAAACAAAAAAAAAAAAGGAGAAAAAGAGGAAGTCTCTCATTGAGATGATTATTTACATGAATCATCAGTACACCTTCTTGGAGAAAAGAGCCCTCAGGCTGAAAAGACTCCCACCGCTGTGACCAGCGGTCCGAGCACGCGCGGTCAAGCCAACCTTATCGTCACCCCTGCAGCTCCCCTCGCCGCGGCGGAACCCAACCAAAGTGTTCACGTTCAAATTGAGCACCCTGATCCCGGCGCCGACGCTGCCTGTCTTACTTCCGGTGATCTTATCCCTGTGCTCGGGCCGCCGAATCTGCCAGACCGGGCTCGTCCGGCCCACGGGAACCCCACCCGCCCGGCCTGGGCTCGCCGCCCACCTCCTGCCCCCCGCCGCCGGAGCCGGCCAGGCGGAGTACTCCCCACTCGAGTTGCTCCTCGAACAGGGCGTGCTGCTCACCTTGCGGCCGTAGGCCGTCGCCCTCGGCCGCCCACCGCCAGCCGCCGGGTTCCCCGCGGAGCGGCTTCGGGAGAAGGGCCACAGGCTGATGCTCGGCTCCGCGGCACCACCGCTGCTGCCCTTCCGCTCCTTCGCCTCCGCCGCCTTCTTCTCCCCGACCCTGAAGATGTCCTTCCACCGCTTCGACCCCGACGTCGGCGAGCAGGAGATGGAGGCCGTAATGTCGTCGGTCGGGGAAGGAGGAGGAGGAGGAGGAGGAAGCGAGGGATCTGGGTCGGGTTCAGGTTCCGGTTCAGTTCCCGTTCCGGTCTCTCGCCCGGGGTGAGGTTGGCGGAGGGAGAGCAGGTGGAGTGGAAGCAGAACACCGTCGGCGAAGAGCTCATCAGCGGAGAGGAGCTGCGCCGGGGAATTGCTGATGGCCAGAAACTCGAACTCCGGCGAGGACGAGGCGCTGCTTCTCCTCCTCGGGCTTCCCTCCATTCATGCATCCAAGTCGATATAATGGAGCAGAGAGAAAGAAACGTGCGAACGATTTATTTCGGCTGGGAAGAGAACGGGATATAAAGATTATTATTATTATTATTATTATTATTATTATTATTACTATAAAATATTTTCTCAGCAACTTAAACGTGTCCTGTGGCAAAGGTTGAGGAACGCATATAGCATAATTATTTTACCTGTGACCCGATTATATATATATATATATAACCTAATCTTTTTTATGCTTTGAGAGCTCTCATCAGTAATAACTAACGATGACCTTATCAAATGATATCTACTGTAAGATCTGAAAGAGCTAATCAGATATTAGACCATGTAGTAAAGTTATCTGCGTTTATTTATCTTGATATCGTAAGTTTTATCAACGAAAATATAAAAATAAAAGATAAAATAATAATTTTAAAATTTTCAGTTTATGGTGGTGACGGATGACGTCTATAGTGATAAACGACAATATCATTGGGGGTCACGGATGGTTGTTATGAATGAGGAGAGTGATAACAAAAGGTGAGGGTCGCTTGATAACTCTATCGGTATCGACATAGATACAGAGCGACCATCACCTCTCGTCGTCGTCGTCCTCATTTACAATAATCACCTATAATCCTCCAACGATGTCATTATCCACCACCACTAATATCGTTCGTCGCCACTGATGTCGTCCGTCATCACCAACTAAAATATTAAAATTATATTTTTATTCTTTATTTTTTATATTTTTATTGATAAGACCGATGATATTAAGATAAATGGATCTAAATGTTTTATTTTCGTAACTATAAGGATACTAGTGTACCCTTTTAAATTATAGAGATGGATACTAGTATACCATTTTAAACTATAAAGATTGAGATGCTGAAAATATTTAATTACATGGCATAATTTGTGATTTGTCTGATCAAAAAAATCCATAACTCTCTGATTAAAAATTTATGATTAGATCATATTTAGTTTCATATTTGTTGGATTGAGGTTTGATCTGATTTACCCTAAAATAAATGATTATTTATGACTCGAGATATACTAATAGTTCTTTCCTTTGATAGCGTAAGTAATTTTTCAAGCCTTGCCAATAATTTATTATCTTTGTATTATTTATTTCATAGTAATTTACTGCATTCCTTTATCAGCTATATATATATATATATATATATATATATTTCAGATGCTACAACATTATATAAAATCATAAATAAGTTGACTCCTTCAAGTATTCAAGCTATTAAAGCTACACTAGTGATAGAAATTTTAATGCCCCATATAGATAACCTCTCCCATCGATCATTGCCCATAAAAGTAAAAGATGTGTAGTCTTTTCCATGTCCACCTCATGATGTGGAATGACATACCTAAGCCTTGTTATCTATTATTTCCCAAAAGAAATTAAAATTGACGGCAAAGATCGTAGCTCCTAACTATTGCAATCTTTCTTCGTTTTGTCCTTCATGTCTTTTGTATGGATTCTGAAACCTTTGTACTCATGCATTAAAGTTGCATGCATGGCTACGAGCTAAATGATGGCTTTCAATTCCAAAAATCATTTCAAATGAGGATGTGATGTAAAGAAACACGTGAAGATGAAAAGAAAGAACGTAGGAATAACCATTATTTAGAAATATAATATTATAAAATTTAATTAATTTTATTATTTAAATATGAGATTTATTTAAGAGATTTACCAATGCTACCTAATCAAGTTAGAATATATATATATATATATAATCAAGAGAGATTAAGAGATGATGAGATGAAAGTTAATAAAAGTTTTTAATTATTAGTATTTTTTTTCTTCTCTTTATATTTTATTATTAAAATTTATCATCCTTCGGAAATAAATTTTAATAAAAATATTAATTTTTGACACTTTCAATTACTAGGAGTGTCACCCAATATAATATTTTTTTAATCTATTTATCTATATCTTAACTCCAAATAGGTGTGTTTGATAGTAATTGATAATAAATTTAATTAAAAAATATATTAATTTTTTATATTTTCAGAAGAAAAGTTTTTAATTCCTAATACTTAATTCAGAAACCAAAAAAATACTTTGATCATGCCCAAAAAAAAACCTCTACATTTTCAAACAAATAAATATTTTATTTATTTATGGAATCCATCATCAGGTGATGGAACACATCAGCATGGATTGTAGTGGCTCGTTTATCTATTTCTGATGGTGCTAAACAGAAATTTTCTCACAAGTCCCATCATCATGAATCAAGTTGCAATTTCATCCCATTTTCTTGTTTAAAGTTAGATAAGATCCTTGGAAATTGTTCATCCCCCACCTTCTCTTTTGATCTCAATTATAATCCTTCACATGTTTTGCATTAAACTGAATATTAATCGATTAATTTAACTAAATCAGATCAACTTTTGAGATATATTTTGAAGGGAAATTATACACATATTTAGAGGGTTTTAATTTTACTCAAAATTTAGAAAGATATAAGTATGAGTACTATACAAAAAATAACAGTCATATTTCTTAGAAAATCGAATTCATCCTAAAAAGAAGCTACATATGCCATCCTAAATGTAATAATACTAAATGATATTTAAAGATGTTGTGGAAAAACCATAAATGCAATACTATGATAGATGCATTGTTTTATTACATGAGTTAGATTTGTAAGATGTAATTAATTTTTAATTTTATGTGTGTATTTGAAGAACTTGATTATTATTATTATTATTATTATTATTATTATTATTATTATTATTATTATTATTATTATTATTATTATTATTATATGGTATATAATTTCGAATGGTACCGTTCGATACGGACGATATCGTACCGATCCGATGTTATATCGGTATGTGGACCGTTTGTTACCGGACGGACCTTGCTACAGTGTACACTGTAGTAGTGCTATAGTAATATAAAAAATATTAAAAATCGCTCGTTAAATCTTGGTGTACCGTTCGATAAATCCTGGTGTTTCGCTCGGTACGTTAGTACTATCAAGCTAACCTCGAAACACCGATACGATACGATATTATATACCTTATATATATATATATATATATATATATATATATATATATATATATAAAAGCTTCGTTTTGAGAAGAATCCTCAATCACAAGAGCTTAATAGAAAAACCTACATATATATATATATATATATATATATAGATAGAAGTTGGAACAGTCAGTCATTATATATCCAAGTTTACTGTATCTTCTTGTTTCTCCTACTCCTCGACGTAAACCACCATTGTTGTAACTTTGCAATGTTATCATTGCTACATCCCAAGCTTGCTTCATCTGTTCCCAACATGGACGTGGATTTGCTGCTACAACTTGTTTGTCATCGGTTCGAGGTCGTCCATTGTCTGGAGATGTGAGCTTTTGGGCATGCAGCACCATGGCATCCATCCACCTCAGGTCTTCTGAGGTGAATCCGGAAGGGCCCCAAAGCAAGATTCGTGCATCCTCGTGTCTACGGACTCCTGACGTTAGTCTTATGTCAAAGGCCTCCCATGTCTCAAAAGCTTCCCCGGGCTGCACCTTCATCGCCTCCCTCGCTACTGTCTACCTCCTCTTGGAGTCTGGTGCACCACCAGCTTTGTCCCTCACCATGGCCAAGTCACCAGTTTTGGTCTGGTAGATATGAGATCTTGGTTCCCCCATCGTGGTTGTATCTCAGTGGTGTTTGGACCCACCACCCATGTCTTGATTGCTGTCTGAGTGCAATGATGATTCCACTGCCCTGTCATAACCAAAGGAAAGAGGAGAAAACGAAACATTATTACAGGTTTCTTCTGCTTCTGTAATGGCAAGAAGGCTTTCGAGGACAAAGCTACAACTAGCCGTCATGCGTAGAACATATCTAATGCATGCCAGAATATAAGATTCGGTGTTCTTGGAGTAACTTCATGCAGTGTCAGCCGCTGCAAACGGTGGATAACCATATCATCAGAATATTTCTCTTCCTGCCCTTAAGAAAGACGAGAGAACTGATCTTGTCATCATTTTGTTGTCACTGAGAGCATTGCTTTTGTTGCTCCAACGCCGGTTTCCACCATGGAATGTGGCACCTGCTTTTGGCCAGCTTAAAAGAAGAAAGCATCTCCATTGCTTCACCAAGACTTCTTCTTTAACTCAGATAGGACATAGCCACAGTCAAGGATTTCTTTGTTAGGCAATGATTTGATCGTTGTCATGCATTCAAACGCACATTGTGTTTGATCGTTCGACTAATGTATATGTTCAGAAGCATTCGTCACACATCTGAGAAGACATCTAATGATATTTTTTTTGCCGATCGAGTTGCTAAAGAGATTTGGACGGCCACAAGTCGAGATTCTGAGTGCAGAAAACAGTGGCAAGACCCCATGGCATTCAGAACAAAAAGGCAGTCTCCAAATCCCAACAAAGAGGAGTGAATCAAAGACGCACTTCCATGAATTGAAGAGAATAATAATAATAATAATATACTGTTCTTCATCCTGGCGATCCAACCCGCTAGAAAAAGGATCTTCTTCATGCGGATGGGGTGTTGCCACGTCTCTAAGATTAGCGTGGGAATTGAGAGTGTGTACTTTGGGCATGTGAGCAAAGATTCAGGTCCTTTAATGGTAGCAAGTGGTGTGCATTAAAATAGCCTGTTTTGTATCACACCTATAAAATCCTTTTTGATTCTTCTCTTCTAGATTTGTGGGCTTCGATTAGATTTGGACATTCTATATTGGTGCCAACATTGGAGTTGGTATGGTGATTAGACTAATTTACATTTTGATATCACATTAGCTCCCCAGTAGCCCTATATCCAGTCACCATGTCCCTCGTTCAACATATTGGAATTATCAGGAAAATAACATGAAATCTAGTCCAAGACCAAATTACACCATGAACTACAAGCAAATTAGGTGATCAACTTTCCTGCTTAATATGAACAGCTTCATAGCTTGATCAGATCACGACGTGATGTGATGCACAGGAGATGGCTGAGAGACTTGTGCTGACAGCCAAGTAGAAGATGGATATGCCACACGTGTAATGCACTCGGTGCAGGATGTGGTGATGATCTAAGTGTAGAAGGTAATCTCTGGAGAAAAAAAGGAGACACAGTAAAAGATGTTGAAGGAGAGGACGATGCAGATTCTACGACAAGTAGGCATGTACAAGAGAAAAGAGACAAGAGAAACATGTTGGCAACAGTGGAAGCACGGTGACAAGGTGACTTGTCCTTGCACTCACAGACCTACCTCTCTTCTCTTCTCTCTCTCTCTCTCTCTCTCTCTCCTCCTCCAGTCTCCTGCAGTACTTTTTGCCCCCAGCTTCCAAAGTTGACAGCAACTACACCCTGTCACTTTCCTGCCTCTATTTACTTGATGTTCTTACTTCATGAAGATTTAGTGTGCTTCAGCTCTCTCTCTCTCCATCTGTAAATATGATGATTCAGTGTGCTTCAGCTCCCAGTATTTGCAGGTCGAGCCTTTATATGTGTCTGCCTACGCTTCATGTCTATCTATAGACGGCCGATACCTGCAGTGCCGAGTGGGTGGAGAGGTGGGTTTCCTCAGAACCTGCACACCACACACAGCCTGTTTTACCCTTCGCATTAGCTGTTGAATTATTGGATCCCTGTCAGAGATTGAATGGTCGGACAGCACACGGTCGGTCCTCTGTGCTGCTGCGGCTGCAGCTGTCTATGATTTCTGACGGGTCCTCAGTTTTATGAACTTTGGCTCGTTTCTGCCTCCCCTTTAGCGAGTTGAGATCTGTGTGAGAATGAAAGGAATAGTGTTTCTTCGTGAAGTCTGTTAGATTTGCCCTGTTCCTTTTGGAAATCCCCTGTTGTTTTCTTCTGTTCTTGTGTTTGTTCTTTGTTGATGGACATGCGTTCGTGATAATGACTTGTTGATTGACCTCGGCTCGCTTGTTTAGAAGGGAGGAGGAGGAGGGTGTTCTGCGAAGATTACCTCCATGGAGTGGAATCCCAACAAGCTCCTTTCGTGGGGTTTCTCAGGACTCGAGCAGCAGAAAGCAGAGCTCACCATGGGCTCCTTGGTCGAGCGCAGCCGTGGCCTCGGAAGCCAGACTAGCGAAATGGATTGCTCGGTTGACCTCAAGCTTGGTGGTTCAGCTGGGTTTCGTCCACCGGAGAAGTGGAGAAGCCAGGCCACGACGGCGACGACAAAAGCAGCAGCGTCCGGCCCGCCTCGGCGGGCACGTGCGCCGGGCAACGCTGGGCAGACGGCGGCCTGCTTGGTCGACGGGTGCAAGTCCGATCTCAGCAACTCCCGGGAGTATCACCGGCGCCACAAGGTGTGCGAGGTGCATTCCAAGACTCCGGTGGTGATGGTGGGCGGCCAGGAGCAACGCTTTTGCCAGCAGTGCAGCAGGTAATGCAACAGGACCACCTGCACACTCCCCATCCTTCTTGTAGCTCCTCTGCTAGGATTCAGAAAGAAAGCTTCCATATCTGCGAGAAAGAAACTAGCAAATTACCATGCCATGCATCACAACATGATGCAATTCACTCGACCACCACAGACCTTTGTGGTTTTTTGTTTCTCGACTCTGTTCATGGCGTGTCAAACCTATTTTAGCACGACATGAACTGTCTCTTTCACTGTATTCTTGCTTTCTTCTGTTCCTCTGCTTGTTTGATACTTGAACATGAGGAAATATCTCTATCAATCAAGAACTTCTGCACTGATTTCATAATTTTTGATTCATTCACTATATGATTTAGCAGCTACCAACTTTTTATCATGCATTAATCGGCGGTTGTCATATGTACAGCAAAATTAAGAGAATTCTCCTTGATGTTATACTCTGTTTTTGACTCATGCTTCAATTTAAATTCTCTCTCTCTCTCTCTCTCTCTCCTATGAGTTCTAATTGATGATTGCCACAGGTTTCACCAACTGGAGGAGTTTGATGAGGTGAAACGAAGCTGTAGGAAGCGATTGGATGGACACAACAAACGCCGGAGAAAGCCACAACCAGGATCCACAAGTCCCGGGAGCCTATTTCCGAATCATCATCAAGGTCTGAATTATGATAGAAATTTTCTCTTTTGCTCCTTGGATTCAACTCATGGTGCTTCCTGGATCATTCTATCTGGTGGTTGCAGGGAGCAGCAGGTACTTGATGTATCCTCATCTACTCCCGACACCAAGAGAAGAGCACAACTGGCCTGCGATATATACCACTCACCTTCCCCTCCATGCCGTCGACAGCCAACAGCAGTTGTCTGTCCCTTTCTGCGGCAACCAAGACGGGAAGCAGCTCCCTCTCCTGCAACATGGCAACACTGCCTTCGGCAGGACAACAATGGAACCACCCACACGCCAGCCATTCCTCAAGACAGAAAGCAGCAGCAGCAGCAACAACAAGATCCTCTCTCACGGAGATTGTGCTCTCTCTCTTCTGTCATCAACTCCAAGTCCAGGCGTCGCCGTCGGCATGGGCCAAATGCTGCCTGCCGGAAGGATCCCCGTGCACCATCAGCCTCTGGTTTCTTCTCTTCCCTACAACCACCTCGATCGATATGCCAGCTCTCAAGCTTCAAGCTACGTTTCGCAAACAGGGTTCTCTTACTCGGGGTTTGAGGATGCTGTGCTTGTTGGCGATGCTGACACTGACCTCCACTGTCAGAGCACGGTTCATGTAGGAGGTGATGGCTCCTCGGTCGGGGCCTCGCAACCTCTTCCCTTCTCTTGGCAGTAGTAGTAGTCTGTGTTTGATGCTGCGCTTTGGTGATTCCCCCATCCACCACTCTCAATAATAATGTTAACTCCTTGCATGGCCAAATGTTCTTCTTCTCATTGCAGAGAACAGACAAAGAAGCAGAAGCATATAGCAACCAGAGAGGAGGCTAATATATAGCTAGCCAGCTTGTCTTGGTGGGCTTTCTCTACAGGTTTATGATCAGATTTCTCATTCAGAACAAAAGAACACACCTGAAATTGTTGTAGATTTGGATCTTAGAGATGGTCATCTTCATAGTTAACCATTAACAGGCCTGATATTATCAATGGAGACAACCTTTTCGTTGATTTCTCTTATACTATAAAGCATGTAACCTTAACATCGTGAAGCATAGCATAGGAAATACACAATTTTTTTTACTTCACATTGAGGATGATAATGAAGAAAACTGCCTAACATTGAGGATAACATAATCCAAACATTTCAGCTCAATTCATCCAAGCTTCAAAAAAATTCCTAGAATGCAGCTCCTGTTGGATATGTTGGATGGACCACTATGCGTTATCGAGTCACCTAAGAGTACACAGGGAACATTATTAAGAGAGAGAGAGAGAGAGTGAGAGAGGAGCAAGTTGGATTCTTTATCTTTGATGGGAACAAACATTCAATGGAGTGAGCGAAGAGAAGATGCGACATTCTTAAAGACAAGAAGGAAGGATGCAACTTGAACTGACACCACATTCCACAACTTGTTTGCCTTTGGCCTCCCACACTACTACAAATCATCAACTTGTGTATCATTTTTCGGAAGGTCATATGTTATTGGCATTGTATAGAGCATCTACATGCCATATTGATCATGATAGAAGATAAGATTTTTCCAATTATATGAGGAAATCTCTATAAGAAAAATCTTCTTGAAGAAAATTCTCTCTCTTAATATGTATAAATAGGAGAAGGATATGTTTATGTATTCAAATTAAAGCTTCTTATCTTCAATAAAGCTTCTTTACTTCTTCAATAAAGTTTCTTCAATAATTATTCTTATTTTTTATTATTTTCCTCATATCATATGTTATCTTCCTCCTTAACTTCCCAAGTCACTGAGTGTGAATTTAGCTTAAATCCTTTATGGATGTGATCTGCCAAGTATTCTGAGTCTCATGTAACATTAAATGGTGCCTTATTTTTTGCTTTAATCATGCTATCATCCTATAAAATAGCAACGATTAGTAGTCAACTTGATTCACTTGCTCATCTTCCTGTTGCTGGCATTGGACTTTATATAACATTAGAATGTGAGAATTAGTAGGTTAAAATGTGTGTTCTTAGACATAGGCAAACAAATGTGTGTTCTTAAACATCCACAATAAACCTCTATGCATGTTGATCTTTAAAGACCTGAAGGTTCCTCTAGAAAATGCATTAATCCACTAAACAACTTGCTGCAAAAATTAGGGTTTCATCAGTTGGAAGAATGCTGCTTTCTTCAAGAAATAGTTCAAGTGATCAGCACATCTAATTGGCTAGAAAGAGATGGCCTTGTCTCACAACCTTCTTCTTGCATATCATTTGATTCCCTGCATAATTCACATGCTATTAGAGATGGCCATCAATGAAAGATTTCTGGAATCCTATAAACCCAAGAATCCTGTCTTTTACTACAAGTGCCTGACTCAATTTTTGTAGAATATTTAGTGTATTGGACCAAGCATACATAATGTAGTCTACCAAAATTTAGTTGTTTGTGTCATGTCTATGAGCTTGGATTCGATCATTTTAGGTTAATCCTTGATCAGTAGACGAGAAATATTAGGCCGAAACATTTACAAAACAATTAGACCAGATCGAAAAAAACTCTATATATCATATCAGTTCTGAATCCTAATTCGATACCAAACGCAATTCTTGCACTTTCTCTTCTCGACGTTTCTGTCGACAACTTATACTTAATAAAAACATCATATATTTGACAAAATCCCAAATTTCATGCACTTACTTTTATTTTTTTTAGCAAACAAAAACATGTAAACAAGGATAATTTGCAAAGTATTTGTAACAATGTATCCATAAGCATCAAGCAAATATATGTCACTGTTGTTAGCTTTTCTTTTTTGTTGTCTAAATAGCCAATATCATGTTTGCTCTTGATCTTAAACTTTGAGATTCTCATGATGCAACACTTGGAGACAAATTTGGAAATCATAAGGAGAGCAAAGGCTTTCTAATTTCTTTGTGGGAGTGCTAAGTCAGCTAGCTAAGACTACACATGACTCATCATTCTTCATTTAGCTTCCTTGTGACCTAGCTTTCAGCTAAAATGACCTTGTCATGCAATCTTCATCCTCCACATAAACAATGAGGGAACTACAAATAGGCAGAGATTTCAAACAGTGCAAGCTCAAGGATATTTATATCCATGTGGACCTTCCCTGCTCCTTTGAGATACTTCTTATGGAGGTAAAAGTGAAGTTACTTTTGACTTTGTATGCACTATGGATTGATTCCTAAGACTAAACCTATCAAAAGTAAAGCATCATTTAGCTCATTTTATCTCCAATTTGTGTAAGGTTTCCAAGCACTTAGTTTGCTCTTCTTCTGCCATTAGAATCTTTACTCTTCCTTGTATTTCCATATGTAGACTTAAGATGCATAAGTGATGGTGGAAACATCTAAGTGGATTAAAGAATGCTTGAGAATATTTGTCGATCATGACGTGTGACACACACTTGCATTGCCATTCATGACTAGTTGGCAGCTATCATATAATTGAGTTAACATTTGTTGAGAGATCTAATTTTCTCATCATCTTAGAGAACAAGCAACATCACACATCACCATACATCTTCTTTGCATCGATTAAAAGGCCAATTACATGCATTGGTCTATCTAAGCTACACATTATAAGTATATCAAGTATGAACACAGCGGGAAATTACAGAAAATTATTTACAAAGGTAAGTGACGAAGGCGGGACTCGAGCTCAGGTGCTTATAATAAATTGACAAGGTCTTCATAATAATTATTATGAAAGTTGATAATACGTATTTTGATTGTGCCATGAAATCCCAAACCACTCAAACTAAATAGAACTATATAAAGGAACATATTATCTAAATACCTCAAATAATAAATATTCTCTAACCTAGGACTATATAAAAGAGTCTCTAGTATAATTAACCATTCTCTTACACATAAAATATTATTTTTTAATATCAAATTAACCGTTGGAGTCATTTCATCTCTCGCCCTCTCACTAATTTTGTAAACCATATGCATCTAGATCGATCGCATAAAAAAATTTACCTAAGAAAAAAATATTATTTGATCCTAACTTCAGGGGTTCTTGGGAGACCTATCCATCATATTATTAGTTTTTTTAAAAATATCATGTATTGTGAAGTCGATATTATGATTTTTCACATTTGAAGGGAAGAATCTTATTTGATTTTGACAATCAAAATTTTTTTTTTTTTGAAGATGTGTCACATCGGACTAGACTTGACATACTAAATCAACAATCAAAATCAATAATAATAGAATCCAATATAATAATACACATCCAAAGAGTATACATACAGTGCAAGAGGCCCTCAGGAGATTGTTTTTATAATATTAGGTGGTAAAGAAATAATTTTATTTTATTTTATTTTATTATATGTTTGATAGCCAAATATAAAATATCAAGTATATTCAAATCATTACAAGACCTACCTAATTCCCAAGTCTTCCTGCCGGCCAATCACACGCTTCCCTCCTCCCACGTCCAAGGTTTTCGTGTCACATGTTGTGTCCCTGTCTTTCCCTCCGGCACGTGTCTCTTCTCGACACGTACCCACTCCCACGGGACCCACTCCTTGAATTCCACTGTCACCGCCACCTCTCCAAGTCAGTCTTCCGCTCGCTGTTAAGCTTCTGCTTACCTCTCTACAACTATCCGCATAATATCACTATAAGCATCCATCATCCGCCGTCCAATTTTCCATTAGGCTCATCTCAACCGCAGATCTCGTGTCCGCAAGAGATTGATATGCGGAAACCTACGAGTATGGGAGTTTCCGGAGGTTAAAAGGGTGATGAGATGTTAGGGTTAATGGACGTCTCCCTCCCCTTCCGTTTTGCCTATAAATGGCAAATGGGTTTTGGCTTCTTCTCCTTCCCTTCTCCAGTCCGAAAGCTCTCTCTTTCATCCTTCCTTCTTCTTCTTCTTCTTCTTCTTTTCGATCTGGTACGTTTCTTTGGGGTGGCTGTTGGAGGAGGAAGAGGAGATGGGGAGGGGGAGAGTGGAGCTGAAGCGGATCGAGAACAAGATCAACAGGCAGGTGACCTTCGCGAAGCGCAGGAATGGGCTGCTTAAGAAGGCCTACGAGCTGTCGGTGCTCTGCGACGCCGAGGTCGCCCTCATCATCTTCTCCAACCGCGGGAAGCTCTTCGAGTTCTGCAGCAGCTCCAGGTGCGTGGCCGGGAGAAAGGTGCTGGGAAAAAATGTCTTCTTTTCGCTCGATCGGTGCTTTCTTTTGCTTGCTACGATGGGTTTCCGGTTTGGGCTCTTTCCAAGCTTGGATCCTTCTGATAGGTTTCCGGTTTCGTGAAAATAATGGGAATTTGATCGGATCTGAGGGTCAAATAGCACAAAATCATGCATAGCGGATTTGTTTTCTGATTTCGTTAGACTGCTTCCGGGATTTCGTTCTCGTAAAAGATCTGGATGTTTTGTTAGTAGTTTGATGTCATGGAGAAGGATTAATCCCTTAAAAACAAAATTTTTGATGAGGAAGCAAACAGATATTAGCTTTCTTCTGTTTTCCTTACGATCTCTCTCTGCATCTCTATGACGAGAAAACTGTTTCATTCCTTCTCTTTTTATTTACCCTGGCTAATGATCGGATCATTTAAGCCTTTCATGATCATACACGGAAATCTAAGCTTCTTTTCCCCTTGCGTTGCACCGGCTCTCGACATCTGGAGTCGGCTTGGAAAGTAGAATTCAAGATGTTGTCGATGATATTTACTTCTTCTTATATCCTTTTGCCTATTCACTCTTTGCAAGAATTATCTCACACGAATCTATTGCTTCTTTGGTCGGTCTTTCTGTGGTCTAAGAGAAATGTCTACCAAACACCTCTGGATTATCTTCGTCTATATTTCTTTGAAGTTTTAGGTTTGTGACGATTTCATTTTGTTCTGATGAAGATTAAAGTTTGTCGTGGTTAAAGATCGGTAGAAGGCATTAATTCAGGGTACAGATATGCTCAAATCGATCTCATTTTGTACATGTGACTGCATGATTCATACAGCAGAGCTAAAGTACCATCACAGTTGTCATTCTTCCGAAGAACTTAGGGTTTTAGCTCTCCCTGTAAGAAACCGTCTCGTCTGTCACCAGTCTTGTCTTTTGGTCCTTTCGTTTCCGAGGTTCCTCGTAACCACGCCATTCCTTTTGTTTTCTTGAAATCCTTTAGATCTTGCAGAAAGGTCCTTCATTGTCTAGATTTCAGTGTCTGAAGAAGGGGATTTTTACGTGGATATAACCATTTGGTACAAGCGTGAGCTTTCAAGTTGTTTCCATGGTTTTCCTGCAAACACTTCTTTTATGATTTGACCACCATTTATGCAACACCTACTGTTATTTTCATTGTGAGGGAATACAAGTAACCCACGTACGTTAGCTTGCAATAAAATTTCCAAAGTTGAAGCATTTGATTGGTAACAAATATATAATTTATTTAGAAACATTAATTCATAGAAAGGGTTGTCTCAATTTTGAAAAAAATCATGCTCAATAAAAATCAAACAAAAGTTTCTCGACAAGAACAAAACAACTTTGTTGGAGATGTCAAATACTACACACATTCCACATCTTCTTGATTTGCAAGTCACATTCCATCACACAAGTGAGACCCACAACACTCTGGAGTCTTGTTGTGGTGTTCCTATGTGATTCTTCTGGTAGTCTCTTTTATTTTGATAATGTTGATTTCAATTTACAAAACTTTATTGAAGTTACTTATATCTTCTATGTCAAACTGTTGTAGTACTAATTCAGTGGCAGGTGAGGTTATTATGCTTATAGTTTCTGATGCCCTCAAAAAGCTGTGTGACAATTGCAGAACAATTAAACAAATTATATTGTAGTAAAGTACTCAATGAAATTGATGGGCTTGAAGAGAAATGTATTTCCTCAAGTTATTGAGTGACTACATTGAGTTGTTCATTTGTGAATATTCCATCTAAAATTCATGGACTTGATCATTATTTAAATGCCATAAGCTGCTGCATACTGAAGAGAATTAAATATATGAAGATTAAAGATGAGAAACATCTAACAACGAGGCAATTTCCAAGTTTCACTATCTATGATTTTCATCAGTTCTGTGAAGTTAATTCTTGCCTTATAAATGAGCAGTTTTGTGAATCTATTTGTAGTGAGATTCTTGTAATTCTACATGATGAGCATATAATTTGACATCAGGATCTTAATTTCAGAGCGACAAAGAGGAATTAACGTATATTTATCTTTCAACAAAAACAACAGCACCCACAAAGCTGTAAAGATATATTAATCTTTATAAGGAAAATTGTCTGAATGGAAGAAAATAAATGACGATTGATGACTTGAGAGTAAATGGTGGACTCTTATCAGGAAACATTTTGCATATTTATTGTAAAAAGGGACTAATCTTTGTTCCAAACCATGTTGATGACAATACTTTTGTTATTGCCTAGCAGATGTTGGCCAACTGTAATCTTCTTAATCTCCAAATTTTCCTTTTGATTATGATACTGTACCCTTTTTTTTTTTCTATAATACACAATGCATATTTAAAGTTTGACCAATTTTTTTATCCTAATTTAATAATAGTATGTTGAAAACACTGGAGAGGTACCAAAAATGCAATTATGGGGCACCGGAGACAAATGTCATATCAAGAGAGACTCAGGTAAATAGATCCTTTGACCAGGCTTCTTGCACTAAATATTAGCTTAGTCTTATTCTCTAAAAGGAAATGAATGACATGTAATTTGGTTTATATGCCATCAATTAAAAAAATCGATGATAATTGTGTAGCGGTTATGTGATGCTTAAGCAATTCAACATTTAGACTTATTTGTCATGATGCCAATGGTATCATTAGTGGCTGCTTTGAACATGGGAAAGTAAAATAAGGAACTTTGATATGTAGGCTTAACTCCATAGTAATGACATCAACAATATTATTCATCAATGTTTTCTTGAAAGGTTGGATGTGAATATAAGTTACTATGTGTAATTCTCTTGAAATGTATCATAGTAGGAAAATTATAATATCTCCACATTGATAGCATCATTAAAATTACATAGGTGTACAAGATTGTTGAGAGGTCAAAGTAAGTCACTTGTAAGAAACACTACATGTTGAGGAAATTGTGTGGAATTTTAATGTATTTCATGCTCTACATTGAACCGTTAGAATAGAGGTTCCTGCAAATACCTATATGCTTGTCTTTTTAGCTTAATAATTGGTATCGTTTGCACGATTGCGTGTAGTTAGTTTTCTAAGTTCTTTAACTATTTATCTTGTCAGTTTATGCTTATTTAATGAAATGAAAGCAAATAAGACTCCAGAGATTATAATAGCTATAGATGATTCACAATGCACAAATAAGTTTGTAGCATGGAAATCCCAAGAAAGGGGTGTGCCTGATGACATTGTATTATAGTCGTAATTTACTTCAAAATACTATGATTTTTCCCAGTATGCGCGCAAGAAAAACAACAATGATTTCATGGTGCCCCTTTTAATTTCTTATATTCTGTGTTTAAGTTTTGAGTTACTTAGTCACATAAATAAAAATATCTGTAATGCTAACATGTGCAATTTATCAACCTATGATGCAAATAAGTGTCTGCTCTAATATAGAGTAACCTATTCCATTATCTTAGTCAATTAGAATGCCATAATGAAGCCAAAAGCCAAAGCATATTCTATAATGTTTTTTAAGTGAGAGAGTGGTGTTACATTTTGATGCCAAAAATTACTGCAAAATGTTAGGAGCCTAGCAAGTATTAAAGAATTATGTTTTAAGAGTTTGATAAAGTTTAAACAATGTTGTGGTATCGGAGGAGAGAAATTAAAAGTGGGAGATGTTAGAGCTAGTCCTAGGAAATTTACCAAAGGGTAATTTTGGTAACCCAACAAAGATAATAAAGCGGAAAAGATAAAAACGACAATAACCCTAGATTTACATGGTTCGGTCAATTAACCTTGACTTACATCCACGAACGAAAGAGGAACAAATCACTACTATAAAAGAGGGACTCTTACAAATGCCTTAGGAAGATGTTCCTAGGTCATAAAATACTTGAAAATACTAAACAAGAAAAAATCCAAATTATAAGCCCAAACTATTTAACTAAGTGTGGACTTAAACCCAAAGCAAACACTTGAGTTTTTCTTGTGGTGCCACTTGTGGTGCTTTTGACTTCAAAGCTCAGACCCTTATTTATAGTTCCAATAAGAGATAACAAGCCTGATTTTCCCGATGTGGGACTATGGAACTTGTCAAATTAATAAATCTCCACCTTGACATGTCCCAACAAAACTTGCTCCACCTTCTTCATAAAAGTCCCAATGGGCAATCACCAACAATGAAACACCAACCAAGTCCAAGCACCGCTTGAACTTATAAACCGGAAGAGGCTTTGTAAGCATATCAGCTGGATTGTCCTTCGTATGAATTATTTAAACAAGGACCTTTCCCTCAGCAATAGTATCTCATTTGCATCCAACAATTTTCTTACCCGAAGGCGGCTTCACAAGATCCCAAGTTCTATTCCGATGGAGAGATTCAATTTCTTCATTCATTGCGATCAACCACTTAGCAGAATTATCACAAGAAATTGTATATGAGTAGGAAGTAGGCTCACCAACTTCACTTGTTTCTTTTGCAATAGACAAAGCATATGCAACCAAATTTGCATATCTTCGTGGTGGTCGAATATTTCTCCGTGGTCTATCCTTGTCTATGGAATATTGCTCTTCCTCTAGATCATCTTCATTAGTAGACTCGGGACCATCTACCGGCATTCTTTGAATAGAAGAGTTTGATTGAAAAGAATTAGAACTACCAATCTCAAGCTCCATCTGCTTCTGCGCACTATCATTTGTACAACTAGTAGATTCTTCTTTAGAAGATAACATAGACAATTCATCAAAAGTAACATCTCTACTGATTACAAATTTTGGAGATTTGGGATCAGAACACCATAATCTATATCCTTTCACCCCAGAAGCATACCCAAGGAAAATACATTTTTTAGCTCGAGGCTTTAATTTTCCTTCATTTATATGCATGTATACTGGAGACCCAAAAATTTTTAAATCAGAGTAATCAACAGGAGTACCTGACCAAACTTCCTCTGGAGTTTTAAAGTTAAATACTGCAGACGGACCACGGTTGACAACGTAACAGGCCATATTAATTGCCTCTGCCCAAAAGTCCTTTGTCAACCCTGCATTTTAGATCATACACCTTGCTCTCTCCAAGAGTATTCTATTCATACGTTCGGCCACACCATTTTGCTGAGGCGTCATCCTAACAGTGCGATGCCGAACGATTCCTTCATTTTTGCAGAATTCATCAAAGTCACCTTCATAAAATTCCATGTCATTATATGTTTGAAGCCGCTTAATCTGTTTACCTGTTTGCTTCTCAATCAAAGCCTTACATCGTTTAAAGGTTAGAAAAATATCATTTTTATGCTTCAAAAAATAAACCCAAACTTTCCTGGAATAATCATCAATGAAAGTCAACATATACCTAGCACCACCCTTAGACTGAACATGAGCTGGACCCCAAAGGTCTGAATGAATATAGTCAAGAGTACCTTTTGTTTTGTGAACTGCTGAAGAATTGAAGCTGACTCTTTTCTGCTTTCCAAAAATGTAGTATTCACAAAAATCCAGTGGCCCAGTACTCTGTCCGCAAAGTATAACCCTTTTGCTCAATATGCTCAAACCTTTTTCACTTATATGACTCAAACGCATATGCCATAATTTGGTGATGTCAGAATCAGACAATGATGATGACGAGACTGCAACCGAGCCTGTGACAGTAGTTCCCTGCAAAATATATAAGCTACCAGACCTACAAGCTTTCATAACAACAAGGGCACTTCTAGAAACTTTCATAACTCCACCTTCAGCTATGTATTTATACCCAAGGGCCTCTAAGGTGCCTAAAGAGATGAAATTATTTTTTAAATCAGGAATATATCTAACATTAGTGAGCATCCTCACAATACCATCATGCATTTTAATTCGGATTGTTCCTCTACCAACAACATCACATGCTGCATTATTGCCCATCAAAACAATTCCACCATTATAAGATTCATATGTGGAAAATAAATCTCTATTAGGACACATGTGATAAGAACAACCCGAATCTAAAATCCATTCATTTTTAGACCTCGTCCTGTCATCAGTAGCAAAGAAAATATTTCCATCATTCTCATCAGTTGCTACACTAGCTTCAACAGACTTAGTAGTTTTCTCAATAATTTTTTCCTTTTCCTTTAATTTATTTTTTAATTTAAAGCAATCAGCCTTAATGTGCCTCATTTTATAACAATATATGTATTCTAAATTTCTATGTCTGGATTTAGATATAGATTTAGATCTACTACTGTTAAATTCTCTTTTATCCATTCTCCCCCTAACAACCAGACATTCAACCTGATTCTCTCTACTTTCCCCAGTGATATCCCGGTCTATCTGCTCTTTAGATTTTAGTGCAGATTTAATTTCCTGATATGAAATTGTTTCTTTTCCATAAATCATAGTATCACGGAAATACTTAAAAGATTGGGGAAGAGAACACAAAAGTAATAGGGCCTTATCCTCATCATCAATTTTTGCATCTATATTCTCCAAATCCATAACCAAGGAATCAAATTTATCAAGATGTGAGAGCATAGATGTACCTTCACTCATCCAAAGCATATACGAACTCTGCTTCAAGTAGAGACGATTCTCTATTGTCCTCTTCATATACAAGGCTTTAAGTTTATCCCACATGCTCTTAGCCGTAGTCTCTATAGCTACCTCCCGTAAAACCTCGTCAGAGAGATTTAGAATAATGCTGGATCGGGCCTTCTTATCCATACCCGCAAGATCTTCCTTTAATATACCATCTGGAATGTTCTCAGCTCCTTGTAGTCCAAATCAACTCCGTTTTGAACCAGAATGGCCTCCATCTTGAGTTGTCACATGCCAAAGTTGATATTTCTATCGAATTTCTCGACAACGATCTTTGTTATTGTCATTATTGCCAAAAGATCCTGAAACCAAGCTCTGATACCAATTTGTTAGAGCTAGCCCTAGAAAATTTACCAAAGGAGCAAATCAAATGAAGATGTTCCTAGGCCATAAAATACCCGAAAATACTAAACAAGAAAAAATCTAAATTATAAGCTCAAACTATTTAACTGAGTGTGGACTTAAACCCAAAGCAAATACTTGGGTTTTTCTTGTGGTGCCACTTGTGGTGCTTCTGACTTCAAAGCCCAGGCCCTTATTTATAGTTCCAATAAGAGATAACAAGCCTGATTTTCCCGATGTGGGACTATGGGACTTACCGAACTAACAGGAGACAATGCTAATGGAACTAACTAACATTATATATTGTCAAAGTTTTATCAGCATGACACTTTTTCTTACAACATTAGCATAAGTGACTAACTAACTACATAGGGCTGTTTTGATTTATTTGGATAACAATTTTAAAGAGATTTCTTTTCCTTTCAAAACCATACCAAGGGTTCATATCTTGACTTTGAAGTTAACAAGATGACAGTTATGTAACAAAAACTCGCTGTCTTGGCACGTGGTAGAAACTTTGTTCCAGCAGATTATGCCTATCGTTTTCATGATGCTAAACATTGAATAAATAGGGTAAA